AATCATCATAATTGTAGCTAACATTTATTAGGTGCTTACTATGGTCTAGGCCCAGCTTCAAGTATTTTACATATACCAGCTCACTTAATCATGGCAATGGCAATTACCCTCCAAGGAAGCTATTATTGGTGATAGATTTTACAGATGAGAAAATGAGGCTCAGAAAAGGAAAGTAATGTACTCCAGGTCTCGGAGTGGTAGGTGATAGAGACGACATTAAAACAACTCAGTCTGACTGCAGAGCCTCCGCTTTCAACCACCTTGCCGGGTTGCTCCAACTCCAACAGCAATTCAAAGACATGTTCTGCTAGAGACAGAAGACAAGGCACCCCGACGGTCCCCACCTTTCTAAGCCAGTGCTTCTCTAAATTGAGTTAGCATAGGCAAGACGAGGGTGCTTCAAAAATGTAGATGCCTGAGCCCCAGCCAAGACCTCCTGACTCAGAATATCCTGGGTAGGAAACCAAGCATCTGTATTTTTTGTGGGGGTGGGTGGATGAAGTCTCGCTAAGCTGCCCAGGCTGGAGTGCAGTGGCACAATATTGGCTCACTGCAACCACTGTCTCCCGGGTTTAAGTGATTCTCCTGTCTCAGCCTCTTGAGTAGCTGGGCTTACAGGCACCTGCCATCATGCCCAGCTAATTTTTATATTTTAATAGAGATGGGATGTCACCGCACTGGCCAGGCTGGTCTTGAACTCCTAACCTCAGGTGATCCGACTGCCTCGGCCTCCCAACAAGCCCCCTACAAGACTCGAATGCACACTCAAGTCTATGAACCACTGTTCCAAGAAATGCATTTCGACATCTTGGTATAAATGCTAAACATTTGGGACAGAATAAACCCTGTGTCACCTTGCAACCTCTTGGAAGAAACCTATAAGGTACAAGGCCTTGTTGCTGGCTCTCTCCAATCCTTCTGGCTCCCCATTCTACAGTCGTCCAGAAAAAGTACAGTTTGTATGTCAATACCTTCCACCTAGATGCACCAGTACAGTCTCTGCTGGATGGTATATCTGTGTGGAAACTTGGAGATTAAACAGTAATCTCCTTTGCTGCCATTTATCTGGCAGCATAGTTGAAAAACCTCGTTCCATCTGTTCAAAGGTGATCACAAATAAGCATGAGTGCGTTGGCCCAGTATATTAAAGCTACCGCTCAACACGTATCGCTCTCTGCGTAGTTGGTGCTAGATTTGGAGCGGAGGCTGTCATACGGCTGCAGCCTGCCAGGACGCACACGGAGGAACCCATTCAATATGGTTCAGCTGCCCCCATGTAGCCCTTGAAGCTGGAACAGATGGCTTTCGTTGGTTCTGTAACTCAGTCTAGCAAGGTTTTCACTTCTGTAGCTCAAGAACTGACAAAGGCACCCTTTTTTGGAGATAACAAAGCATAGGGAAGGAAGACTACCTGGGTACAAATCCCTTCTCTGCCATTTGCTAACCATGTGACTGCTTAACCTTTCGACCTCAGGTTACTTGTCTATAAAATGTGGATATGAGAACCTACCTCACAGGATTATTATTCTACAGATCACCTTTCTACAGTTCTTTCTGTATTTCTACAGATGAGAGCTGCCCACTGCTACTCACAGAGAGACTCTCCCATCAAAGATCACCCTTCCCATCTATTGCACCAGAATGGGACCTTCACATCCTTCAGTATCTTTCTCAAAATTCCTCTTTTCAGAAAACTGAACTGTCTACAGATAACTCTGATATCTACCTCCTTCCTCACTAAAATATTCAGTGGCTTCCTGACAGTTTGTATTTGTTGCTATGAGGTTTTCTAAATTCTGCATTTCCCCATCATCCCCTTTCCTCTTGACCACTAAGTTTTAATCTCAGAAGGTGCTCCCATTCCCATCACACACTGCCTATGATATGAGGAGCCACTTGCTGTCTTACAATGGACCTAAGTTCCTGCCCAGCACAAAGCATGAGAAACCATCAAGCTCCTTCTTCTGAGAATAAAACAAGCTTTATCTTTAGGAAAAGAAAAACAAAACAAAAACCACCTAGAGAAAACTATACTAATACCCACAGATTAAAGAGAGGGAGGGAGAGTTGCAGGCCGGGACCTGGGCAAACAACTGGTCTACTTATACTGAAGGAAAAACCCCTTCTGGAAAATAAGACACACATCTATGAGCATCATCTAATATGCTAGATAATGCCATGAGCCTGAAGTGCCAGTGCAAAGGCAGAGAGGCCTGAGCCTATGGAGCTGCCACAGGCAGGTAGATCACCGAGGTGGGGAGTTTGAGACCAGCCTGACCAACATGGAGAAACTCCATCTCTACTAAAAAATACAAAAATTAGCTGGGCGTGGTGGCACGTGCTTGTAGTCCCAGCTACTTGGGAAGCTGAAGCAGAAGAATCCCTTGAACCTGGGAGGTGGAGTGTGCAGTGAGCCAAGATCATGCCACTGCACTCCAACCTGGGTGACAGAGAGTAACTCTGTCTCAAAAACAAAAACAAAATTAGCCGAGTGCTGTGGCATGCACCTGTAGTCCCAGCTGCTGGGGAGGCTGAGGCAGGAGAATTGCTTGAACCCAGGAGGCAAGGGCGGCAGTGGGCCGAGATCATGCCATTGCACTCCAGCCTGGGCAACAGAAGTGAAACTCCGTCCAACAACAACAAAAATACCTAGAGACTTGCAGTTAAAATGTTCTCAGAAAGAAGGGAAAGTTAAGCTTCCTACAAATATCTGAGCATATCTGCATGCTCTGGTCGTGTTTCCAGGGAGCATTTCCTAACGTTAAGAGAAAGGCCCTATTGTTCTCTGTCCTCCCCGTTAGCATCCCTTGTCTACCATCTACAGACATGGACAGAGCAGCTTGCTCTGCAGCTGAGACAGACCTGCTTTCACACATCCTTAACTTTCATCCTCTGCCTTGTGTGATAAAATTAATCTTGCACAAAGATCTAGTTGATTTTCTCTTGATCTCCATCTTCATTCTTATGAGCTCCCAGAGAATGCTTTAAAGCCTATTCCAAAGCTGCTTCTGCTTCAGTCTAACCACACACCCAGCACTGTTTTAAGCTTAGGGGAATTTACCAGTACTGTCTAGCCTCTCCTAATCTGCACCGTACACGTAAGCGTAGCTGTCCTGGAAACCTGAGAAGCACATTACCGCATAGTCTGATGCCTTGTTCATTCGGCAGGTGCGCGTGAGGCCAGTCCTCTTCCAAGTGTTCCCTGGTACACTTGCAGGGACCCAGACCACATGCAGACCACAGTGACAATGACCCCAGCCAGACATTTAAAGGGAACACAGGGTGCTGTTAGAAGGAAAGCCAATCCCAGCACAGGGACAAAGTCCTGAAACCTTGCATATCTGTTGACCTAGAAATTCTTCTAGGAATTTATCTTGAAGAAATGTTCATGAAAAAGAGCTGACTTAGTTACAAGGATGTTAACAGTAGCTTTAGTTATAAATACAAAATATTTGAAACAACCCAAATGATGCTAAATATACCAAGGCACCACCATATGATGAGATTCTACAATATCCTTTAGTGCAGGCAGGTTTTTGGGATGGGGAAGGTTTGCTTCTAGGTGTTATGGTAAGGAAGGCCATTACTTTAGAAATACAGGGGGATTAAAATAACCACCTTTTTTTTTCTGTGACAAAAAGAAAGATACCAATCCAGACATGAAGCCTCTCTTCTTCCAGGCAAAGTAGTTTACTGTTCTGCCTCTGTCCCTTCACTTTACCTCACAGAAACAAGTAATAACAACGATGATGATGGTGACAATACCAGCGCCATCAACAACCAGCATTTGCTGAACACTGACTCTGCACCCGGCAACGTATGAAAGGCTTTAATCCTCAGAACAACCCCATGAAATAGAAAGCATCAACCATACTTTACAGAAGAGGAGAATAGGGCCCTGAGCTATTAGATAACTTCCCAAGCCACACATAACTGGTGAGCGGCAGAGGCAGAATCACACCCAGACAACCTGGTGCCAGAGTGTGTTTAACCACTGTGTTCTACTGCCTCTCTCAATGTATGTATCTCTAAGGAAGCAGCTGTGATGCTGTTTACATTTGTAGTCACTTGTTTCCTTACTCACTTTTGAATTCCTTAAAGCCAAGGTCTCATGTTTACATTCCCGGTCCCTGGTAGGTGTCGTGTAAACATCAGCTGCATGAATGAACCAGGCTTCGTTCTCTGTGTGTGATTAAACAGTAACCAATAATAGTAGTAGCGGCTCTCAGGAACTGGCCCTTACCACGTCTCAGATGCTGAAACGCACAATTTCATTTAATTCTCACAATTTCCCTATGAGCAGGTCCTCTTATCCCTGTTTTACAGATGAGCAAACGGAGGCTGTCTTAGAGCAAAGGCTGAAACAATACTGTATATTTTAGGGCTCAGCACCTGATCATTGCAAAGAACTCAGAAATCCTGAGATGAAAAACAGATGTGATATAATCGTGGTAATAACACTCTGGTATTTGGAACAAGTAGGGCATTGTTCCCTAATTAATTTACTAATGAATTTCAAATATTTTTAGGTGCTGACTCCACGCCAGGCACCATGAGAGGTGGAGTAAAACATCAAGCTGAGCAAGAGTCACATTCTATTGGGGCATGTGATTCACACTAATGGGTATTTCATTACAGCTGAGAAAAGGAAAGGACACTGTCTCTATGGGAATGGCTAACAAAAGAGAAGCTGAAGAAGTAGTGCCTGAGCTCAGTTCTTATTGTGCAGCAGGAGGAAAAGAGACTCAGCTGTTTGTCCACAGGAGATCTGGAAAGAGAATCCTCAATGGCAGCCCTTCCTTTTCATTCTCAGTAATATTGCTTCCCGTCCTATCAGGGCTGCTCAGCAAAGGCACTTGGGAGGGCACAATGATACAGTCTTCAAGGACACAAAAAGCCAGCAGCGCACAGAGAAAAGCTGAAAGTGTCCACTCTGAGCAGCTGCAGGTAGCATGGGATGTCCCTGAATGCCACACTGACCCCACGCAGCAGAGACTCACGTTTCTCCGTTGACTGCACAGTATGGAAGAGAGTGAGGGGCCTCTCGCTGCAGGACGGGGGCTTGGAGTCGCTGCTCTTCTTCCGAGACAGGTGCAGCTGGGCATTGGTGAGAGGCATCTCGGGCACAGTGTTAAATATCTGCAAACAAAGTTTCACAACAAGGTTACACACATCTGTGAACGGGGAAGAAAACAGGCCTGAAGTAGTACAACGGAAAGCTTGGCAGTGTCTTGGAATTAGCAAGAAAAGATCCAAGAAGACCACTGGCAGTTGCTCAAGATTTCATTTTAAACATTTCTAGGAAATGGCATTAAACATTCTCCTTTGGAAGCTTATCCTAGAGTCTGATAACCACCCACTTCCATTTCTAACCTCTTCCACTACAATTTCCACTGAGCGTCTTTTCATCGTTCTCTCCAGGAAAACAGAAAGCAGCTGTGCTCAAGAGAAGCCACTGTTAATAGCACTTGAAGTTTTTTGACTACCTTTGTCCAGAACCAATGAATCAAAAATCCCTTTATCTTTCTTCATTGGTTCTGTTTCTAAGTTCTTAACAACTACTTCAGAACTTTCTTAAATTGTGAAACATGTATTTAAATAATGTTTCGTAAAGGACCCTAGGGCAGGGCACCATTGCCCAATCCTCACCAATTGTCCTCAGCTGCAGCATCCTTTTTTAGATCAGCAGCTCCATGTTATCCGTGATGCTGAGCTTTTCCTCGTTTATCTTGATAAGTCTCACACACACACACACACACACACACACACACACACACACAATGGACAATTTGAAAAATGCAGAAGTCTCAAGAAGAAAACAAAAAATTCTCCCGATTTTACCGCTTAGAGAGAACCACTGTTAGCATTTAGGTTTTATTTGTTTCTAGGCTTTTTTTTTTTTGGAAGGGCTTTTATTATCCTTCTAAAAGTTCATGCTAAAAAATGAGAAGTAAATGACAGACAAAAATCATGACAACTCTCATCTTTTTTTTTTTTTTCCTACAGATAAAAGTATAGTGGACTTTACTAATTATAACAGCTAATGCTTGTATGGTGCTTACCACGATTATAGTAGCCGCCACTTATTGCAGGCTCCCTTAGGTACCAGTCATCATACTGTGTGCTTTTCATGTAGCTCACTCAGTTCTCAGCAATCCTGAGCAACAGGTAATGTCCTCAGCATTTTATAATGAAGAACTAAGGCTCAGAGAGGTTCAGGAGCCACAATTGTAGATACAATTACAGATGATAACAGTTCCCCCAGTTCCCCCCCAGATTCATTTTTAAATGCATACAATAATATTCATGCTAATTCATTCAACCAGCACACACCTTTTAAGCATCTCCTTTATAGGAGGCACTCTGGGTATAATAGTGAAGGAGGTGAACACGCACCCTGTGGATAGAGTCTGCACTCCTGTGGCTATGATTTACTGAGTCCTTGCCACACTAGGCACTAAGCTAAATGCTTCATATGAATGATCCCAGTTAATATTAACACACACTTTTCATCATTGAAATTATATTCTTTATGCCATTTGTATCATATACATTTCATCTAACATTATACACTATTTCCTCATTCATTAAAAAAACCTTCAGACATGATTCCTAATGGCTGCATAATACCCCCACTATAAATTGAAAAATCAAAATTTGTGGATCCATTCATTACCATCTCTTATGCTTTGAAGCTGGTCTCCTTCTGAGTTTTCTCCTTCCTAAATGACAGTCTCTGATGTATCTAGGGCTACCCTTCGCCCATGGGTGGCCCTAGACACATCAGTCTTTCTCATGGTCCTCTCTCCTTTTGTGTGTGCATTTAAAAACAGAACTCAAAAGCTGATATGTAGGAAGCAAAATCATAAGAATCATAAGAATTTCAGCCCAAACAGCTGCTCTCCGTGGGTTGGCAGGTCCTCGGGCTCCAATGATGCCAGCCAGCTGGTTAAATCAGTCTCACTCCTAAACACAGCTGTCTGAAAACAGCATTATCATATTTTCCCTAGGGGACTGAAAATTTTCAACAAGATAAACTGAATCACTACACGTAGCTGAGTTCAACTGGGGCAAGGGAATAAGAAGAGAAGGAAACAAAGTAAAAGCAAGAAAAAAACTCCTAACTTCTCAAGCAGCTGGAACCCCAAAAACCAAGTTTGCCAGTGCTATAAACATCTCCAGTCTCTTACTGAGCCTCTACAACAGAAAGAAAAGCTCAAGGACTGCAACCTCAAAGAAGCTCTCTCCTCACTCTTTATTTGGCCATCCCCAGGTGACAACCTCACTGTGTACCATTATCGCGGGCATTTAAAGATGGCTCCTATGTATGAGTTTTGTACCTGTCAGGCACTGTGCCAGGCAGATGCATCTGAAGATGCATCCCTAAACTGTAGGTCAACAGCAAAGCAATTTGGCTGACCGGCTCACAATGAGAGATTGCCTGCCCTGCCACACAGCTAAGCAGGAGAGTGACCAGGAGGGAAGCCCCAGGGCTGCAGCAGCCATTCATTCGGCTAATCTCCAGGCAGTCTTCACTACAAAAGCTGGTGTCCCAAACATACAAGAATGGGTTTCAACCTAACGGTGTCTTCCAGCATCTTTCTGCCTCTGGCCTCAGTTACAACGCCTTCAGCAATCCCTAGCTAACAGCATTTGAAAATGAGTTCAGAATTAGTGATAGGCCTGGTTTTAATATTTTCCCTCACATTCCGCTTCACCTCTGGCCTGCACATTTTGTCTCTTTTTTTCTAGCAAGTTACTGAAAATGAGTTCCTCACTCAATTACAATGGGAGCAAAAATAATGTGTACTTCAATTTCAACTGTCAACAAAAATGCGAGTTTTTACTATTTCCTGAGAACTGTAGTAAATGTTGGAGAAACAAAGAAGAGGAACTTGTGAGGAAGGACCATGGCTTTAGACAGATGTGTGAAAAATTGCTTCCAAGACAATATTTATATACAGCAGAGCAGGAAAAGACATGGGAACAAATGAGGGAGTTCACTCTGCTCATCAGCTGTTTCCTCTAAAATAATGAAGTTATCCAAGCATAAGAGAATCAGCTCTGCGAGGAGATTTTTGCCATGGGCAAGAGCCATTGTGAGCCAGGCCCAGGCTCCTGAAGACCGCTGATAGGGCTATTCTCAGGATCAAATTAGATAACGTGCAAGGAAGCATGCTGCAAAATGTCCAGTGCCAGACATGGGATTGTCATAATTACCATTACACGGTCTTCCAAGGTACAGGGTGCCTCTGCAAATTAGATCAAGTCAGAGCAGACGACACAAACTTTCATTAATGACCCTGGAAAACTGTTCCCCAAGTGACTGTTGTTTATTTAACTCTGACACTTGAACACACGCAAACCGTTTAAAGCCTGTTGACTGGCCACGGGTTTGCCTCCATGCTAGAAGCTCGAGTTGAAATTCTAATGAGAATCTGAATTATTCACAACTCTTTTGGTTATTCCAATCCTATTTCATTTTAGAAGAGATGATTTCAAGAGAATCAAATGAAGTTTTCTTCAGTCTGTAGAGAAGAATCACTGTGCAAATGACCCTGTTGAATGACGGAAGCAGGAGCTCATATAACCTACAAGCCATGGATTTATGGAGCTCTACCGTGTGGCTGGAACAATCTACTCATTTCACAGAGACTTTCCAAATTAACACAAAAGGGGTAGATTTATTTTCTGCCCCAAGTGCCCAGTTAATACTGTCCAAACTCACAAACTAATTCCTATTTAGTCAGGAATGTCTTAGAGATAAAAGTAAGGAAGATCGTAAGCCTTCTGGAAGCTTTTGGGGAATAAAATTGTAAAACAAAAATATAACTCTGGGTAACTCTTCCAAGTATCCCCGATTTCAAGCTTCCTGTAAGTGGAATTAGCAGATCCATAAATACCAAGCTACTGTTTCGCTGTAAGCTGTGAGTTTCAGTGGTCAGGGGTGGTTTGGCCTCTGCAGTCAGACAGACCTGGGCTGATCCTGGTTCTGCTGCTCATTCAGTGGGCAGCAAAACCTACAGCTACACTGACCTCACCATCACTGATGTTGACATCATTGCCATATCAACACATCAAATACAGGAAAGGAATTTAAGATCATCATATGGGTACAAATCAAACTGGCTTTGGAGCTAGGCAGACTAGGGTTCAAATCCTGACTTTGCCACCTACTAGCTACATAGCTAGTAGATTAACTCAAAGTTAACCCTACTGAGTCTGTTTCCCTTGTGCAAGTGGGGATCTAATACCTGCCTTGCAGAGCTACTGAAAAGATAATCCACATAAAATGCTCAGTGCAGTATGTGGCAAAGAGCAGGCACGAGATGGTGGTGGTATAAATGTCAATAAAAACAAAATTTGAGAGCTTATAATGCTAACTTATTTACATGGATTATCTACGTGGATTATGCTACTCCCAATAACCCTGTAAGGGAGGTACTATTATTCTTGCCCTCTTGAGATGAGAAAACTGAGACTCCTTGAGATTAACTGATTTGTCCAAGGTCACATAGATAAGGAGTGCAGCTGGACTGGTACCTAGATAGCTTGACCATCTGGGTCTTCAGCCCTTGTGGTCTTTATACCCACTATTAATTTGCGAGACAGAGGACAAAATGGGAAGACTTAAGTTTTGGAGTCTGGTGGATGTGATTTTAGTCACTTACTAGCTCTGTGACCTTGGGCAAGTTATGTAAGTCTCTGACCTTCGGAGACCTTATTTGTAAAGAAGTCCCAGGACTGGGGTGAGGACTGAAGCGCCTAATACAGTTTGACATTCAGTGTTCAAAAGATATTACTGTAGTCAATAAAAAAGGAGACATACAAAAAGGGAAATAACTGGAGATTCAACAATGGATTATTCGCAGTCCGGACATGAGGATTTAATTTATAAGTATAAATTTAATTAATGTTCTTTGCAAAACATTGATCTTAACTGCTTACAGCAACAACAGAATTTCCTGCTCTTATTCCCTTGCACTGTCTACAAACTCTAAATTTCATTGATCCCCCTCTGGACCTTCTTGACATTGGAGAGCATTGACACTTGTGGAATTTGTTCTTAGCCATGTCACATATACATTTTTACACCTTCTTCAATCCCATCTGTCACATGTGCCTGCAATTTAAAAGGA